TTTCTGTTGTTGGTGTAACGGCAGAAAACATTGCTGAAATAAATTCCAAGAATGATGCCAAGTTGAGTCCTTGGCCGCATAAAGTGCGGATCCGTTCTGGTTACTTGGACCCAACTGTCGTGGGAACGGTTCGACAGTACAATATTTCTCATCGCTTAATTTTTTATCTGAATAACTATTTAGCTAATATTGATCTTTCATTGGCCCAGCCGAAGCCCAACGATCTAAGCTAACTATCGAAACGAACATATGAAGGCGATCCTAAAAGTTGTATGTATGTACATATGTATATGATACCACTTCCACAAGAAATATTAGGCGCAGTACAAAGAAGTTTTTGAGTCGCTTCGAGACCTTCAAAAAAACATGGACCCACACCAGTGGAAAAAACAGTCAAAACATGTCTTGTAAGTAATGGTCTCTACTTACATTTTCATTAAAGGAGTCTGAGTCCTTACTGCTTGACTCAGTTATTATATTGAATAATAACATCGGGAGCGTGAATTAAAATTTAAAATTTTTTGGACTGACGACGGAAAAAATACCAGCAATAAGGACGTTAAGATGTATCGACTTCATCATACACGAAAGAACTAACGGATCGATACTAATCAGTACTCGCTAAACCAATTACTTTTGAGCTTAGATCCTTTCATCACCAGTCAAAGAAAACCATCAAGCAAAATTAAATCAATTTTATTAAAATCAGTTTTGATTTAGTTAAATAATATTCAAACAATTCCTTTTTTCGTTTATGAAATTTTTCAATTAAATATAATTAATATTGGGGTGGGGGCGAAATGCGAAACGACAGAGGGACATTTTAAAAAGCTTTGGCAAAGTTTTTTGGTTTCACTATTATATAGACAGTGGAAGTATTTTTGGCAGCTGATTCCATACAAGACCGACCATTGTGCGACTGTAATTCCAGTCCAAAAAAAAATTCATATAAAAAGGCCTTGAACAATCCCCTAAATTTTTACTATATACACATAACACCACGAACAGGGAATTCCTTCAAATTTATTAAATGAAGAGAGGAGATGTAAAACGTCAACCTGAGGATCGAAATCCAAGCAATTTGCTGTCTGTCAGGTTTGTGAGAAAAACGAAAACCACTGTATGTAGTATGTGGAAGTTAGGCTAGTCCCGACCAAATTGTATCTATTTTTGACAATACCACATACTGTTAACATGCCACATACTAAAAAATTAATCATAAAGTAAAGTAAAGTAAAGAAAATCCTGATATTATTTATGTGGGGGGTAGGACATGTTTTTGTTCAAATATTTGTTTTTGGCCCAAAGATACATGAGTAAAACACGCTAGCTCTTTTTCATTAAGATCAATCCCATATTGACCGATATATGGGGTACAAAGTCATCCCGAAATTCGAACATTTTTATATTAGGTATATGGAGGCCGCTTCAACCCATTTTTGACATACAGACATACCTATAAAAGAGGAGAATTTTTCCTTATTTTCAATTATATTTATCAAACATTGATTGTCATTTTCCATCAAAAGTCCACTATAGGTATAGGCTTGAAGAGGTCTTATTGGATTTCAACAATTTTTAGTTATAAGGTGGCACACACTAAAAGTTTTATCTCGTTATATTAATTCCTTCCTGATTTGTGTATTGGAAACTGAATGAATCAAGTAGAATTTATAATTGTGCTATATGAGAAGTAGGCGTGCTTGTAGTCCGATTTCGCTCATTCTTACACACACACAGGTACTACATTTTGTCGCAATTGGTTGGTCGGGTACCGAGATATGGGATTTCACCAAAAAGTCGGTAGTCCCACGCCCATTGTCCTATTTCCATACTGTTTCTTATAAACCCTTCTCATACAATATCGGTGGTAAAGTGGGAGTGATTGAGGATATTCTCCGATTTAATCCATTTTCACAATGTCGCTAGCAGCTCTTATAAGAATTTGGTTGTTGTAGCTCAAATGGTTGAGGAGATATGTATGTACATTAAACATATTAGAGGGCGTGGCCACCCCCACTCTTTCAAAACAGTTTACCCACAGGTGCCACTTGCTACTGCGATCATCTGTGCGAAATTAAGATATAAAATTGTAATTTAGTGCTTAGTTATGGCACTTTAAGTGTTTTCGGTTAATGGCGATTTGTGGGCGTGGCGTCCGATTACGCACATCTACGAACTCCTTTTTTTTTTTTTTCTTTTGTACTTATGATCCTGCATACCAAGTTTCATTACAATATCTCAATTTTTGCTCACGTTACAGCTTGCTCAGACGGACGGACGAACAGGTAGACAGTCAACCGGATTTCAACTTTTCTCGTCACCCTGATCATTTATACCTACACATATATCTACATACAGTATGTCAAGGAACTCTTTACACTGAAAAAAAAAAACATACTTTTTGACTTTGAATGCAATGCACAACTATTATTTAGCAAATTTTTAATTAGTATGTTCAAAAATAAAAACAATACAATGAGAGGGAAAATTTTAAAGCAACAAAATATGAGTTTACACAAAGAAACTCTTTACACAAAGTACTTAAGCTACAGTTTAACTTACTATCTTAAACTTACTATCTTAAACTAATTTTAGCATTTAGTATTTATTAAGCTAAGGGGGCTTCAACTACGAGCCTAGTGCGATTTTTCATGGAACTAATCAGCTTTTGTAGATCATATTCCAACGGAATTTTATGCCACTGTTCCAGTACTGCTGCTTTTAAGGGTACGCGGTTTTTGGGCTGCCTTTTTGCCACTTTTTTCTTCAAAAAAAACGCACAAACTTTCGATGAGGTTCATGTCGGGGCTCTGAGGAGGTGTATCTATGACCTTTTGGCAATTATAGAGGAGCCATGTGCGCACAATGAGCTCCTTATGTTTGGGGTCATTGTCCTGAAAAAATTTAAATTTTGGCTTATTATCGACAATAAAGCCAAATGTGTTAGCAGTTTGTCTCAAATTTGTTTTCAAAATGGAGAGATATTGCTCAGCATTCATTGCGTTTTCAATAAACGCAAGCTCTTCCACTCCCTTGCTGCTAATGCATCCCCAAACCATCACTAACAATTTGGAGAATTTTACTGCCGGAATGATGTTGCGCTGATCTAAAGCTATTAACGGCTTGCGCCATACTCTAGTTGGTCCATTAGTGTAGTATGTACAGCATTATTTTGGGTTCGTCACAGAATATGACGTCATCCAATATCCGACTTGATGCTGATGTTGACAGCAAAGGTTAAGCGCTTTTCAACATTTACTTTCGACAGCAGCGGCTTCTTATGTGCAACTCTTGAAAAGTATTTGTTTCTCAGAATTAGTTGGCGGACAGTTTCATGTGAAACGACCATGCCACACTCTTCTTCCAACTTCTTGGCAAGGATTCTGGTGAAAATTTGGGGGTTTTGACAGACCTTACGCATGATTAGGCGTTCTGCCCGCTCGTCAATCTTCTTCTTTCGGCCACTTCCACAGTTTGCTTCTAGTCTGTCTTCATTTTCGGCTCGATGTAAAACATTATAAATTATTTTCGCGATACACAAAATATCTCCACTAGCTCAGCTACAGATTTTCCAATTTGGTGATTATAATAAATCAATTGGATAACATCAAAGGTGCAGGCATGTTAAATAATTTTAAAGTTAGCTTTTTGACACGTGTGCAGAAACATTTCGCAATTAAATGAAAAGGAATGCAAACATAGCGCATAGTGCAGAAGCATAGATAACGGTAAAGTACCATTTTTGCTTTAAATAAAACAAAACAGAATCGAAGATTAAAGTGTGTAAAGAGTTTCTTGACAGTGTCAAATATGTGTAAACTCATATTTTGTTGTTTTAAAATTTTCCCTCCATTCCATTGTTTTTATTTTTGTGCATACTAATTTAAAATTTGCCAAATAATAATTCTGCATTAAAAAAATATTGAAAAAACTAACTAAAGGCTTTATTTTTGCATGCAAAGTCAAGAAATATATATATTTTTTTTCGGTGTGCAAAGAGTTTCTTGATATACTGTACATACATATATAACCCTATATCTACATACATATCTCGATTAGTTTTATGTGATACGTACAACCGTTAGGTGAACAAAACTATAATACTTCGTAGCAAACTGGTTGCAAGAGCATAAAAATACCGTGTAAAACACAATCTAAACACCTAAATTTGCCACTTCTCCAAAAATTTTCTTCGTAAGCGAAGAACATGTCGGACCGCCATGGTTTGTGTTTCTCTTCAGATTATTATTGTGAGGAACACCGATACGAGAACAAAATAGAATCACCGATAAAGCGATGTTCGTAGTTGACAGAATGTTAGAGTGGCGAGGTAAGTAGTTAATTCGGATAATGAGTAGTCAAACTTCAAGTTGTTGGAGTTAGAAATTAAGATTAGTGTATAAGAATTAAATTTTGACTTTTATTTCACAATCCAATGATCAACTTCAAGAGTGAGTTACAAGGTAGACGATTTATTGAGAAATCCGTTAGAATTGCTGTCAGAGGTGGGTACAGGGAGCCCAGTTGCAAAGCATATTGGGCAGAGCGGAGCAGTTGAAAGTGGGTGAGTGACTGCTGCGTCGACTATGGAAGAGCGAAGATGAGCAAAGCTTCCAAGCAATAATGATTGTTCCGAAAGTTCCAAGTCCGAAAGTTGTCATCGAGTTGCATAACGGTCCAAGGTATATGTATATTAAAAACACGATTTATTTTCATCATGCATATACAAATGTTTATTAGTCACACCTACATGCATATTATTATATTTAAAGCTGCAATCGATAATTTTACAATATAAAAACAGTTCTTTTTAGTTACAGTTTGAGACAGATTTCCTTGGGTAAATAATTAAAAATATTTATGTAACCTTTGTCTAAGCGTTTCAGTTACAGATCAGTTCTAGTAGTTGCATATTTAAATAAGATCCAAACATTGAAAACTAATTAATACGATATGCAACTGCTTCGTTGGTACTCGATACTACATTAATACATACATACATATATGAAGCTGCTGAGCATGAGTGTGTATGTTTACAAAATTCGTTCTGGCTTACATTAGAGTTTAACAGTAGCCTTTACAAAAGTACCGTATACACAGCTAATTGTACAATTTTTATGTTTTGGCAAAAGTCAGCAGTTGTTAAAACAGCAGAAGTATCAAAAATCATCATGTCGATTCTTACTTAATATAAAGGCCAAAATTTTAACGCTATTAAAGGCATAGTCACACCGGTCACAATGCTGGAAATCAAATTGACACTGTGGTTGTCTAATATGCGTAAACCGCTGATATGTCGCACACCTATTCCAGGACATTCTACAATTTTGCCTTCCTTATCGACACCCGAGTACTGCATTGTAGCACCAAGCAATGAATCCAACAAAGAACCAAGAAGTCCAGCAACGCCGCCAAATATTATAAGCGGCCACTGTGAAGGGCTCGTTTGTAGCGCGTGCGATTCGACGGTATAACGCACCGTTATATAGTAGACGACTCCAACAAAAAGGCCACCGGCAAGACTAGCCACTAGTCCTGGTATAGAAACACCACCGTTAGTGCCGCGTGGCACACGGCGACGCGTTGTGATGAGGAATGGATCTTTTTTTGAAAGCACGCTGCCGAGCTCACTAGCCCATGTATCGCCATTACAACAAGCGAAAGCGCCTGTCAAATATTTTTCTTTAACCGCTAACTTTGACAGTAGAAATTTTTTTTTTTTTTACTTACTCATAACTGCAATGCCTAACCAGCTGGAGCGATACTCATTGGAAAAATCAATAGGACGCTCACAACTGCCGCAATCTATGAGATATAATAGCGCTAACTGTGTAGCCATGCCACCATTACACAACACCTGCACCCAGTTGCGTTGGCCTTCACCTGCGCATAGCAAATTTAAAATAATTATGTGGAAACAAGTGGAGTCAAACATTCACCTTCTTTGAAGTCTTTTTCGAATTTTCGTTTCAAATGCGCACGAAATTTTGTTGCACGTGACGAAGTGAAGAAAAATGCCGCCAAGCTGGCGAAGAATGCATGATTGGCGATGGATAAAATAAAGGAAAATATTATACCCAATGCAGCACCTGATTTATTAACGGATTTTCGGCGTAACGCAATCGTCATAAGCGTAAGAGGCGCTAATGTTGAGAAGAGCCAACGTGTCGGCGGTATGACGGGCGGTTCTTTATTAGAAAATATAAAATTACAATTATTACACACACAAATATGCCAAGGCAATTTGTGGTGGGCGACTTTTAGAATCATTTAAGGCTTCATTTACCTTCAAACTCATTTGAATGCCAAAATTTCGAAAAAGCCAAATTACCCAGCCACATAAATAACGATAATGGAATGGAAAGACTGCAAAATATCACCGGCAACCAGGCGTGGACGTCCATCCTGAACAAACCTAATTGAGTATTTCAGTTATTGAAAATAGAATGCCGACGTACAAATGTTGGATAAGAGAAATTAACTTTCTTATATTTCTTTTTGGAAGCTTTCACTTACGTACGGTGATAGATGCGAATGTTGATAGCAAAACAAAATAAAAGTAACACACTCTTGTTTTATTTTCTTTAAAAAATCGAAATGAAATCAACCCTGTCTTTGCTGCATTACGACCACAAACTATTTGAGCAAATGTCAGAAGTAATAAAACAGAAAAACACGTTAAACAAATGAAAAGGTAGTCGGCCGGTAATATTTCTTAGCAACGAGAAACAATTATAACTTCTAGAAAGTTTCTACAGAAGAAAATTCCTATTAAAAAGTAAGTTTGGTGCAAGAGAAATAAAATACTAAAAATGGCTGATGGTGATAAGATTGAAGTACGCGATATTACGCGCATCGAACGCATTGGCGCGCATTCGCACATACGCGGTCTAGGTCTGGACGATGTGCTGGAAGCGCGTGCTGTGTCACAAGGCATGGTTGGCCAAAAAGATGCACGCCGTGCCGCTGGTGTCGTAGTACAAATGGTGCGTGAGGGAAAAATAGCTGGGCGTTGCATATTACTGGCGGGAGAACCTAGTACAGGTAAAACGGCTATTGCTGTTGGCATGGCACAGGCTTTGGGTACCGAAACGCCATTCACCAGCATGTCTGGTTCGGAGATATACTCGCTGGAGATGAGTAAAACAGAGGCACTATCACAGGCGCTACGCAAAAGTATTGGTGTACGCATCAAAGAGGAAACAGAAATTATTGAGGGTGAAGTTGTGGAGATACAAATTGACCGGCCAGCAACGGGTACTGGTCAAAAAATTGGAAAGGTATAACTAAACTAGTGTACAATGAACTGCAAGATTTATTCGTTTGTTATATTTTATAGGTTACTTTAAAAACGACAGAAATGGAAACAAATTACGAATTAGGCAATAAGATCATAGAGTGCTTCATGAAAGAAAAAATACAAGCGGGCGATGTTATCACCATCGATAAAGCTTCCGGCAAAGTTACTAAGTTGGGTCGTAGTTTCACGCGTGCACGCGATTATGATGCCACCGGAGCACAGACACGTTTCGTGCAGTGTCCGGAAGGAGAATTACAGAAACGTAAGGAAGTCGTGCACACCGTCACTCTGCATGAAATCGATGTCATCAATAGTCGTACGCACGGCTTTCTCGCGCTATTCTCCGGCGACACTGGCGAAATAAAGCAGGAAATACGTGATCAGATCAATAATAAAGTACTAGAATGGCGTGAGGAGGGCAAAGCGGAAATTAATCCCGGCGTACTTTTCATCGATGAAGTACATATGCTAGATATTGAATGTTTCTCCTATCTGAATCGCGCTTTGGAATCGGATATGGCACCGGTTGTCGTAATGGCCACTAATCGCGGCATTACACGCATACGCGGTACGAATTATCGCAGCCCACATGGCATACCAATAGATTTATTGGATCGTATGATTATCATACGCACAGTGCCATATACCGAAAAAGAGATAAAAGAAATATTAAAAATACGTTGCGAAGAGGAAGATTGTCTAATGCATCCAGACGCTTTAACCATTTTGACACGCATTGCAACGGACACCAGCTTACGTTATGCGATACAATTGATTACAACAGCGAATTTAGTGTGCCGACGACGCAAAGCTACAGAGGTAACCACTGAAGATGTGAAGAAAGTGTACTCATTGTTTTTGGATGAGAATCGTTCCAGTCAAATTCTGAAGGAATATCAGGATGAATATATGTTTAATGAAATACAGGAAGTTAGCGATTGTGAAATTGAACCAAAACGTGAGGAGACTGGCGGTGGCGACGAGCAGCCTATGGAACATTAATGATACATTAGAGGGACGTAAGGGAGGACATTGTTCAGTTCAATTGCATACAAACCTTCATTTTACAGATACATATTTTGCACTTTAATTGAAACAGAAACCATGTTATTTTTAACGCTTTAATAATAAAAATTATATATATCTATGTATTATAATAGCGTCACAATAGTTACTCTTTAGTACAATAACAAAAGTAAGTACGTAAGGTAAAAGGTAGTGAATATGCATATGTATGTGAAAATATATAATTTCTTGTGTAACATGAACTTTCGCTTTAAAATTAAACAATTAAGTTAGTATAATAACTTGTGGTGGACATTGCACATATAAATTTGTATATAACTTTTTTTTTACATATATTGCATTTGTTCCATATATATAATGAAGTACATTTTTATAAAATACTTCTCGTTGCCTCTGCTGCACGGCCTCTATGCAGGATAATTGCATAGTTATTCGGCGCTTTTTTTATATAACGCATTTGCTCATATGTATTTGTGTGCGATATGTTCAAAGTTGATTTTTGTTTTGCAAAGACCCTCTGAAGCTTCAGTTCTTGCCCTAAGGCAAGGTCGTGCCCAAATTATTTCACTTTTCTTTTACATTTTTTATGTGATTTTTAGTATTTACTATTATCTCAAAAACAATAAACCTACAACTAACAAACTACAGTGTATACAAATGATATTTCATATTTTCATATGGTACACCATGTCGTATGAGCAACGAAGAAATCACTTGCAAAAAATAAAATAAACTTGGAACATAACGGACACCGTTATACGTACTTCAAATACATATGTACTTCAATAGCTTTACAGCAAGAAATATATTTTACATATGAAAATTTTTTGCTATTTACAACACGATATATACAACAAAGTGTGCCTGAGCTTGACATAAATTAAAATTAACTACTGACTAGTAGGATGTAGGTTATGTTGCTGCAAAATTACTAAAGTACTCTCAATGTAAAAATATAAAACTTTATCAAATGATAATTATGACTACGAAAGTGAAAAATTAGCTATGACTGCTTTACAACTTCAAACTGTAGCACCAAACAGCTATTTTTTTGTTTTCTTTATTATTCTTTGATACACGATAAACAATTTGGGTGCGACAAACTCTTAAACGTTTATAAAAAATATGTCTTTAGCAAATTTCACTTTTTAACAGCCTTTTTACTTGCACAGCTAATACATCAGTGCTCTTAAAATATTAGTAGCTAAATATTTTTTACAATTTACTATTAATCAACGGTTGACTTGAAAATGCCTAATTATTGTTAAGCACCTTTACTAATCTCGTTTGTCATGTGCGCCATCGTTAATAGTTGGCGAAAGTGTTGTTGCACGTCCGAAGGTTGAATCTTGTTCGCGGCGTTTTGCGGCACGTACATAATACTTGTAAGTTTGATAGAATATTGTCCAAACCAATACACCAATCAACACGAAATAATTGACGGCGCTATATGCCTTCATCCAACGAGAATAACTAAGCAATATGAAGGGTGTCATACACCAACCAATGACGAAGAGATCGTAAAGTTTTTGTATAAAGTACTTAAGTGCAGGATAAACAAATGGAGGACTAACAATGTCAGCGTACATGTCAATATTAGTTTTCGCCCAGACGCTGGCAAACTAAGCAATTCAAAAAAGTTTAAGTAATGAGTTTTTCTTTTTATTACAACAATACTCACTTGTTTCTCTACCGTTACGGTCATGTATTCATTAAAGAAAGCCATGTAGTAGCCACTGTGAAAGCCATGCCACACAGCCAAGAAACCCAAAGCCGCTGCATAACTAATCGTACGATTGTTAAGGAACTTAAGTCGCTTATAAACGTATTGACCGAGCCATTGATTGGTATTTATATTGAAAGAGTGTACGTAATGCTGCATTGTGTAGCCTGTCTCCAATATGATCAGATTAACATTAGAGCAACCAGACCAATCGTGTGTGCCATTTTCCTGCTTGCCCGCATAAGATATGCCTGTTCGAATGAAAAGTGATAATATAAATACTTACGTTGTAATTTTTACAATTACTTACCCAGAATTATGAGCGCACCCTCCGTCAATAGCCAGCATGCAACATACTTGTAAATTGCAACTTTCGCCCATACGCCCAAATAGGCTAAACGCCAGAAGTATGACACCTTCGCATATTCATCAGATAGAATATAGGTGTTCGGGAAATATACAGCTCCAATTTGGCTAACAATTAAGTAAACAAATCCAACTGACATACGCTTGAGACCTGCCTCCAAGTTGCCATCGTGCTGCTTGAATTCACCTTCGATGAAACGCTTATAACGCCGATATGGAAATTGTGGTCCAATTAGAAAAGAACATGGCAAATAAGCGAATGCAAATAATTCGAGTGGTGAAGGGAGCTCTGCAAGCGCACACTCCTTTTGTTCTTTAGAAAGTTTGTCTTGCTCTTTCAGCCCATCTGCTAAATCAAAACCAAAGCCGATTAAACGCAACACCAGCACACAGTGCGGCATAGTCCATAGTATGTCATATTCATCACTTTCCGTAAAATGGTAGCCAACAAGCAGATATGACATATGAAAAACAAAGTTTAAAATTTTAAATTCACGTGGGCAGCCACGAAGTAAACGCGCCAGTAGATAAGTTGTGGTGATTGCAATTAGTGAATGATATGTGTCAAAGCCAAAATTAAATAGGCATATCAGCAAACCGCAGATGACGAAATAAAGGTGATGCAGTTGTTTATTGGGTTGACCTACGACATGTTTGCGATATAGAATAGCAATTCCATACCCTGGAAGTGAAAGTTTATTTAAAAACTGGATAAATGATAATAAATTAATGTTTATCACTCACCTCCAAAAATTGAGAGCAACAAGCGGAGCGCGGCTTCATTTACACCAAATGATTGCGCCAGCTTCCCTATAAGACCAAGAGCTGGCACCGCGGCACCGTCTAATGTCGACATATCTCAAGTTACAAATCACACTGCAATTTCAAAATAAATTTATACAAAAATGCACACAACTTATTTGAATATGTACATACATATAAGAGTTTCATACATGAACATAGCTCTTATCATTTATAAATATTATTATTTAAGTGGTCTGGAGCGTACAATAACAAGGGTAATTTCTAACATCGCAATAAAAGTAAATAAGTTCATTAAATAAATGCCGCTTTATAACGGACACAAAACATGCAATCTATAACTTCATAAAAAGTATATATGTAAATACATTATATAAATGTCCATAAAAAACAAAGATCAATATGACACATTAACATACTGACCCATTGGCGGGTAAAACCAGTTATAGTACAAGCTATCGCACTATGAACCTTAACTAAACCTTTAAGAGCATTTTGGCGGATACATAGCAAATGTATAATAATAATACCGCTAATATGCATGCAGATTAGCAGATTTAAGTATAGTATGAGAAAAATAAAAACAATGGTTATACTTGTGATTGCGCGCAGCACAATGGCAAAACGCCAAGCGAAGTCACCTTAGAAAATTTATATTTGCGAATACAATAAAAAATCGGTTGATTAAAAACAAGAGGATAAATACAATTACGATAATTAGATAAAAATCCTATTATACAGTGTATAATTTATTTAATTATTATGCTTAGCATATTTTTATACACACCTTTTTATTTATAAATGTTATTGATTATAGATTTATGTTAGTGCATCACGTAAAACCTACAAGGGCGCTAACAGAAAGAGATATACGAATGTTTCAGCGATAGGAAAGACACTAAACAAATAATATATAATATTTATGTACATAAAGACACATTTGCGGAGAGTAACTGATAGATTGACAAAAATAGATTTAAAAAAAGGCAAATGAGACTGCGTGCGTATTTATATGTATATATATTTAACCTGCACATTATAAGCTATTTTGTAGGTTATAGCTATATACTCATGACTAACAATGCATGTTTTGGTGACAGTTGGCCATAATAATGCATTGATAAATTTTCACTCTATATCAAATTTAAATTAGTATTTACTATACTGATTACGTCCATTGCTATGTAAATAAGAAAATTGAGAGAGTTTACCTTGACTTTGTTATGATTTTGGTCAGTGTTCTTCCACAAAGACGTTTCACAGTTGTTACCACTTAACTAATGGCTAACAGAGTACGTGATACCAATCGCGACTTATATTTGTTATGAAATTGATTTTACTACTAACTTTTGTGAGAAACGCTTTAACTATATTTTATTACCCTCTTTTACATAACTCAGTATTGATTTTCAACATTTTAAAACTATTAATTTTGTTAACTTAAAAGATGTTTATAGAAATAGATATAAAAGAATACTGAAAAATATACAATAAATCTCATCAAATACAAAACACAACTGTTCATAATTATTCACAGCTGTTCGACTTTATTTGTTTACTACATTGCGAATGGTCACTGCGCAGAGTTGCTAAGCGATTGCCTGAAACAGCGTTTATTTAAAGTGTAGTAAAAACATTCTATACTAATTCAAATGTTAAATGTAAACTAAAAGCAATAAAAACTTATTATATTGGTATATATATGACAACTAAGTATTTTTTTACTTTCATATTAACTCCGGGCAACTAATATGTAATGGATTGTTCTTATTCTTTTCCCGTAAAACTCTTTTTGATTTTTATAAATGCGTTCGTATAGTTTAAGAATATACTTTAATTGTTTTTATGTAGAGTATTGTTGTTTCTTTAATTTGGTGGAATTTATTGTGAACTCAGTCTTACCATTCATTCACAGTTACATGTTGTTAAATTCCAGCAATAAGATATAATTACTTGAAAATGAAACAAATGAATGTGCAACTAAAACAAAGTAGTTTTTAAAACGCTCAGTGAATTCATTAACAAAGGAAAAAGGAGGTGATAAAGTCACAACAAAAAATTCAAATACGTACTCCTGTAGAATCAACATTTCACTCAACTGACGTGTCAAAACAACTTCCATTAAAGTAACAAATTTATACTTTCACAATATAATTTAACAGCCGCATTCCATTGGTACCAATACAAACCTGGCGCATTCCGGCAACAGTATGCGACGCAATAATTATCCGTATCAACCCCTTAACCAAACGGCAGGTCAAAGTGCTTTACCACACGACGCGCTAGAAGAGGAGAACGAACGCGCTGCTGAAGAACTAAAACATAAAATAGGTGCACTTAAGTCATTAACTATAGATATTGGCAACGAAGTTCGCTATCAGGACAAGTTGTTGCGTGGTATCGATGATGACATGGATAGAACGGGTGGATTTCTCGGTAATACAATGGCACGAGTGGTACGCTTAGGGAAGCACAGTGGTGGCCGTCATATGTGTTACATGTTTCTTTTTGTATTGTTTGTATTTTTAATATTATACGTTGTCATTAAAATTAAGTGAACCGATTGCTCTAATTAAATTATAATGAAAGGTTTAGTTGAATTATTACTTGAAATGAATGTAAAACTTTCGATGTGTTGTGAGCTACTGAAATGCAGCCAAACTTGTGACTGTTAAAAAAAGAGCTATTAACAACTGCGATTACTATGTATTATAGAGAAAACTATTTTTGTAAACATAAAAAATATATATTTGTTAGATTTTTTAAATGTAAATAAAATCTAAAAGAGCATAACCTACAAACTAGTTATAAGTATTGTAAAAGAATTTATGTACCATCATCATTACACTGCACGATTTCTTAGCTTAATTGATTCGTCTCTCTTGAGGGGATTGTTCTTATAATTAAAAAAGTGGTGAGCCACATACAAAATATTTGGACGCCATTTGCGCTACATATAGTATAGTTTATGGTAGCAACATTGGAGACAGTCGTTTGACATTACCTATGTTTGATAGGATGTCTTCATCTTTTTGCTGCGACGACTGAAATCTTGTTCATCGCCATCCGAACTATCTGCCGCTGAAGCTTGATACTCTTGATTCAGTTGTTGATACTCATTGGGGTCTATCACATAGCCTTTCTTTGCCTCTTCCAACATGCGTACTGAAAAACCCAAAAATGTGTGTGATCCACTTTAATTTAAAGAGAATGGGTTTCCGCTGTACTTACTTTGCTGCTCCAAAATTGCATTTTGCTTCTTAATGTCTTCTACGTCTTTTTGATTTGCTTGTATCTTTCGTCTCATTACTTGGATGCATTCCGTCGTTTTCTTTAGTATTTGTGCACGACTGGCCTGAGGTGGGAGTTCCGAGACACAATCAATTACACCATATTTTGAAATATTTCACTATTTTTACCTTTTCACCCTTGAGTGTTGGCACTGCTTCACGTAAACTGGTAAAACTCTCCTTTATATGGTCACGTCTTTTTCTTTCCAAAGCATTGTGATGTGCACGTTTCTCTGCCTTAAAATGCAAAAACAATAGAAACAATTTATGCTTTCGTAAATAATACTTATACGAATTCAAGTCTGCGACGGCGTAAATAAACAACCGAAACGGAGGAAAAAACCACCACCACCCAACCCAAGTTAATTGGAATGATTGGTGTAAATATTTGTTGGTATGCGTAAGCATGTGCCAGCAGCACGCGCTCGCCAACACACACGGCCACATACAGACAAACACTCACCTGCGTAAAATTTTGTGTATTTGCATGCCTTGATGACTGTGCACCCGTATCGGAATCGTTATCATCCTATGATTGAGAAAATAAACGGTGAAAAATGTGAAAAAATAACATTTGAAATTATTGTTTTGATTAGCGAAATTGTTTTTGTTGCTATTTGTTGTGGCAATTGATTCCTTACATCACTTTCAATGTCAATATCCCTTTCTTCGTCGCTCATTATCATCAATGCGAGGCCAGAACTTGGCTGTTAAACTCGATTAAAAAACGTTATTATGTTACGCTGCGCAAGTCACGATTTTCAACAATATATTTTGTATTATTCTTGCAAATATATCACAAATATTGATACGCACTTAAATCTGGGCCTCAAATTTTCATGCAAAAGCAAATGCGACACTCAAACAAACGAAAAACGTGCATGACACAAAAGGAAAAATTAATCCGAATGATAAGAAAAGAAGAATACTAAATTTGTAATCAAAAGAGTTGCCAAGTTAGTGAGATTGATCAGTTTCTTATTTATTAGATTATTATTAAAATATCTTATAGTTGTGTTGACAGACGGCAGCGTTAATCCGGATTAATTGCGCACTTAATCAATCCAAATTTTGTAGGTGACAAATGGCAGCTATGCGAGTTGAAACTCTTTTAAACAGCTGATTGTAATTTTTGATAATATTTTCAATGAAAATTGCACAATTTCGATTTCTTTGGCGAAGCGATCTGAAGCTAACGTTGGAAAGAGGAAGTCCTGATTAAAAAATATATTGGGTTATAGGTACCGCAAACGTCAGTTTACGAGATATTCGACTTTAAAGTTTGAAAATTCCCAAAATTCGAGCATTTCAACAAGTTATTTTACTACATTTAATGCCCTTTATGTACATTTTCCCTTCAAATTCATTTAATTAAATTGTAAGTATTAAAATAAATCTACAATTTACACTTTTTGCATGTTTTATAAGTAAGAAATGTATATTTTAAAAATTACTTTTTACACTCGTAGTGAGCATCATTTATGTGCTAACAATTATGAGGAAATGGAGCGCTGCAATATAATAATAAACAAATACGAGCAATTTCAAATCGATAGAAGTTATATGTATATGGCGGTTGTTGGCCGACAAATTTTTAAAAAATCATTTTTTGTTACAAAACCATATCAACACGTCATTTTAAAAACTGAATCATAATATAAAACTTCTTTTATGATTGGAAATTTGAAAAACAACTGTGAGTGTTGATTGTTTTTATTCACAATAGAGTAAAGTTGGTCATTTTTAACAATGTCGTCAACGAAAATGCCGCTAACTCTCTAAACATTTGAAGATTAAATGGGACTTACCAACTCCTGAATTAAGTCAGATTAATGCGGTTAATCCGGATTAACGCTGTCGTTTGCCAATGCTGTTAGATTGAGGTTGTATTTATAATTTATTAATATAATTTACACAAAAAGTTTAGGTATTAAGTATGTTT